TGGTGAGCTGTCCCCGGGCCTGCCTGGGCTCCGGGGGCTGCTCCCTTTGGGGAGAGTACACCAAGGGGGGAGGTCTCTATGACTGGGCAGGTCCAGGGCCCATCTGCCACCCTCTTTGGGTGGTGAATGGGATTGGGGAGGGGCACGACCTTGGGCCTGGAAGTTTAAACTTTCAGCAACCTCCCGGCTGCTGTGGGTCTCAGGACTGTGGGTGGGTCTCAGGATGGGGTGTCTCATGCCTGGATCCCACACGCCAGCCACCACGTGCACATGGTGAGCTGCCCCAGGGCACTAGACTGCCATTTGGCATCAGGATCCGCCTGCTGGCCGTCCAGCCTGGACCTCTGGGGTTTTGGTTCTTTGAATCGCTACTTAGGTAGCTCCGGGTTGAACCCATTGTGCTTCTAGGACGTGAATCAATCCTAAAGACAGTAAATCTTCTTTTGTAGAACCTGTAATCTCTGAACAATGCTGACCACCAAATACCAGTCCATGCAAAAGCTATGGCTCGGGGCTCGTTCATTAGAATCATATCCTGTTACCTGACATGATGATGGATCAGGAGAAGGGTCACATTAAGCAGGGCCATTACATTAACTAGCACTCGAGAACCATATCAGGGGGTAGATTCTGTGGGGGATGTATGGACCAAACCCTGTAGAAATTCTAGCCCCACTGGTTAGCTCAAAAGTTGGGGTGGTGATGGACTAAGCTAGGTGTGACCAAGGAGCTTGCCATCAATCACAGGTAAAGGAACCCGCAACAGTCTGGACTGGTCAAGGCAGCAGCACCCGAATGTGCATCCTGATTAGGGTGTGGGGTGGGCTGGGCTGCAACGTTCACCAGTTCATATATGGCCAAACAGAAGGACAGACTGCGCCGGAACCTGGCCTAAAACCCAATGGCACGTATGAGAACTGGATCAGGGAGTGGATTAATTGGAGGAACTTGGGAAACTCCCTTGGCAAGTCATAGCTCCCACTGGTGAACATGTGGTCCAGACCTGGGGGTTGGACAAGCTGGGCAAAGTAGCTCCAACAGCTGGCCAATGTGTCAATTAGTAATGTAACAGGGTGGACTGGGCAGGACTGAACAAACCTTAGCCCACAAGTGAAACTAGAGACCAGGAGGGAGCACAGGTCATGCCGAGCTAGGCTCATGTACCTACTGGTGTGCGTGAGCCAGGAGCGCTAAGCCACAGTGTCTAAGGCAGAGGTCAGGACAGGTGAGGGGCTGAGCAAAGCTGAGTCAGAGCAACCACTGGCATGCATGTAATCTATGGCTGGGAACAGGCCCAGTTGGGAAGCTAAGGGGACACCCTAGCTGGGTTGAGGTTCCCACCAAGGGGCACGTGGACTGGAACTGGGGCTGCGTTCTGATCAGGAAACAGTTGTAGTCTTCATTGGCACAAGTGTGGACTGGGATTGGATGCACCAAGCCTGCCAGACTTCAACACCCTCTGGTGTTCTGGAGGACCAGGGTAGATGTGGGAGGGACTAGGCAAGGTCTCAGCCCCTACTGAGCCAAATGTGAGTCATATGTGGGTATGGACAAGCCACGGCTGTCTGAAACATCCAACGGCAAGAACCAGTTTGGGTTGAAGGCCAGTCAGGAAAAGCCACTGTTCCTGTTAGGACAGGAGGTGAACTGAGGAGGGCTGACTCATGGACCCACTGGTATGTGCAAAATCTGGCATTGGGAGAGGTTCTGATGGAGGAGCCTGGGCAATTCCTCTAGCATGACACACACCCCGCAGGTAAGCACAAGAAATATGATAGGAAACAGCCCAGAATAGGCCATGGAAAGTTACTCACTGACATACCATTGGCATAGGTTGGGGGCAGACCAGGCTGAATCAGTTCACATCATTCACTGGCAAATCCAAGCACCAGAACAGAGTGTGGGTCAAGCCAGGTTCGGTCACAACAAAAACTAGTGCACAATATGGAATGCCAAGGTGAGGTTGCCTGTACCAGATATGACCACAGCACCCAACCAGCACGCATGAGAACCAGGAAGGGAAGGGGCAGAGCCAGCAGGGGGAATATTGGGGGTGAGGGGAGGTTCCCTTGCTGGTTAGCTAGTCCCACTGGAGAGCGTGAGCTAGGATGGGATCAGACCAGACTAAGCAGGGCTACAACACCTGTGTGTCTCATGTGGACTAGATCAGGGAAAAGCCAGGCTGGGCTAATTATTCCTACTGGTGCAAGCATAAATTAGAGTGGGTGATGGTTGTTTGGGCTTAGCTGCAGCATCAGCTGGCAGAAGCTGGCACTGGGGTCTAATTCTGTCAAGTCAAACTACAGAACTATCTGGCGAGTGCACAATCCGGGAGTGGGAGAGGCCTGGGAGGGAAATAGTGGGCTCCTCCCTCTTGGGTTACCACTTCCACGAGAGGGCACGAAAACTAGGACAGGGGCTGGGGTGGCTAGACAGACACCCAACAGCATCTGTGTGGGCTGCATAGTGGAGCTGGTTAGAAGGAACAAAGCTTTAATACCCATTGACATGTACGAGAGCTGAATGGGATGTGGGAGAGACTGGACAAGTCTGCTACACATACTGGCAAATCAGGTTAGGTGGCGGGCCTGGTGGGGGTTATTGTGGGTCGCTCAGACTAGGCTGCAGCTCACACTGGTTTATGCGAGGGCCAAGTATGTGCTGGGCAGAACCAGGCTGGACTGCAACACCCATTGGTTCCTTTGGAAGTCGGGGCTAAAAACATAATCAACCCAGCGAACGCAACCACCAGCTGATTGGGGTGAAGGACTTTGCCGGGCCTTGTGCTTGCTAGTACATACAAGAAACTGGTCAGAGAACACCTTAGACAAAGTTTCTTTGGAGATTTCCCCAATCTAAACGCTGGAGTCAGAACCCTAACCAAGAAAAGACAGAAGACAGAACAGGTCAATCAACTATCTCAGCTAATATGTTGGCAGCGAAATATGGGGCAAATGGAGACTCTACGATGGATTACGTAAACCAGTGGATTCTCAAAGACCTCATAGTGCTTAGAGTGGCAAGATTGGTAGCGATTCATAACTGTTGAACTATCAAAACCACTTGAGCAAGAACGTTGGAGTATGCCCTACATCCGGGACCTGGAGAGGGTGGGAAATTGGGTGGGCTTTCTCCCTTAATACCCCCCCTTTAAACATGAAGGAAACAATATGGAAATAACAGTGTTATCCACTTCCCTATAGCCCTTGAACCTTTTTTCCCTAATTAACTATGTAAAGATTGTCAAAATATAAATAAATAAATAAGGAACAGTTTAAAAAAAAAGAAGTATGCAATACATACAAAAATGGATTAAATATTCACAAAGCAACACATATGGTCCTTAAAAACATATGCCAAGTGAAGATATTTTAAAACAAAGTTAATTACATAACACAATCTATAAAAATGTAAAACATGTGCAGAAAATTACAATACATAACAACCAAGACATGTTGTTAAAATATAAGGATGTCATTCACCTAAATTAATGGTTTTATGGGGTTTCCGTAGCCTGTAGAACAAAAGGAAATAAGTAAACTTATCCATATCAACTTATCTGAGAGGAGTTTTATACTATCAAGAAAACATGCTCATTTCATAGATCCTGAGAAGTGAAAGAACATTCTTGGTGTGACCTGATTATCAATGGACCTGAGAATAGAGCTTAAGTCCCTGGGACCACACAACATAACACTTTAGAGATTATGGGCTATGGAAGCCAAGGAAATTCCAACCACTCGTTCATAGATAGATTGGCTCTCTAAATATGTTCTATGGCTTCTGAGTTGCACAGCATAACCATAGACAATTCAGTTGTTAGAACTTAGGTAACTCCATCCTAAATCCTTCCTGTATGAGTATTGGCCTCATTGGATCACAGCATCTAAACCTAGCACTGTTATTTGTATTAACACAGAAACTAGTGCAAAACTTTTCAGTTACTATGTGCAAGTAGTACTTTGAGAGATTGTTTTACTGTCTCCCTTAGTAAATTGTCTGTAAGTAGCATGTATTCAAAAGCATTAGCTGAGTGAAAGCATTGTGTTTTCCTTTTAGGGAAGCTCACAACATCAATAAAATAAAATTTTACAATGGGGCACTTTCTCATTCATTTCAGACATGAGTCAATTGCCCAAAGAAAGATAACATGAGGAAAACTTACAAGCATCCTCAGAAAGTGGGTTACAGGGACTAAATAGAGGGAGAGATCAGAATTAATGTTCGAAAGAATAACAGCAGATCATCCTAGAAGCTGGTGGAGGGAAAAGAGGAATTTGAACAAGGGCATTTGAAGCAGACAGAACAGCATGAAAGAAGGGTCGTGAGAAAGCACAAGGAGCCACATGGCTCTTTCTTTCAACTGAAGTAATAGGTATCACAGAGAGTCAGAAATAGGTTAGCAAGGAACAAACGATGAGAACGAGAGGAACTGGCTGACATAAAGACACCAGATATGATCGAATTTACCTGGTAAAGTCCTATTCCAGGTGTGCTGACCCCAAACAATTACTAATGCATACTTCCCACAAAGAATGCCAAACTGGACAATAAAGTATATGATCTTCCTACATGTAGAAATGCAGTAATTTAACAGAGAGGTGATGAGGCTTCCTGGTCACATATCATTTGACATAGTCTATATCTCCAAATGTGGCTCTCCAATATTTCAGAAAATATGAACTGATTTATGGGAAAATGAAGTTACTTTGATGAAAATTTTAAAATTTGCTTCAATAGAGTTACTTGGAACATATCATCAGCACCTCTCTTAGAATTAAGCTCAAATAAAGCTTACCGGAATTTTTACTTCCTAGTGTAAGGTTGCTAGAAGCCAACAGTAGTCATTCTAGCCAGAGAATGCAAAAATTATCACATATATAATGTTACATATTTGTAGAAGCAAGGGGTAGAAGCAGTTCAATTAGCAAAACTTTAATGTAATCAAAATGTGTTTTACATTTTGGTGAATATATATAGGTTACTAAAATCACAATTACCTCAATTTTGGTTAAGAGGTCTTGCAGTTCTCCGGATTCATTCATTGACAAAATTTTTTCAGCACCCTAATAACAAGAGAGGGCAGGAGAATGGGGGAAGAAAAAAAAATCCATTTTGTTAGTATTTGAAAAAAACAAAATTATCACCAGGAAAATTTAACTGACAAAACAATGATCATGAATCTTCTATTTAGTTCTAAGTAAACTTAATACCAGGAGGCCAAGAAAGAGCTGTCTCTTTCATGTCACATATTCTCCCACCAAGGAAGGCCTACTGCAGACAAAGCCAAGACTATCAGCAGGCGGTATGCTGTGGGAAGCCAACAGCGGCTAGATAAAGTCCGAATCTGGAAGAATGCAGCTCACCTTTGTGAGTTGTCCAAGAAACTTGGACCCAGCTCTGCTTTCTGGAAAAGAAGGCTTTGGGCCAAGCCACACCTGTAGTGTCACTGTCTAACTGCAGATCATCCTGGACATGGCCCTCCATAGAGTTAGCAATGAAAGACAGCAGCAGCTAGCAACAGTAACAGTCACAGCAACCTAGACTAAGGACATGTTGTGGGCTAGCTGCTAAATATCATCCCATTTGATGTAGTAGATCTCAGCAGGAAGGAAGCTCCTCGACTACCCAAAGAGGAAGAACAGAGCGAATACAACTACAAGCAATGGACTGATTCCAGAACTGCCTCAATGCCTAAAACTTTACTGTGATGGTAAGAAATGGAGTAAATGTACAGTTTCCAATGAATTCATCATGTTTCTTCACATCATCCCTTCTTTCTTCCGTCAATTCTTCTTACATCCTCCTACTCTACTTCCCAACCACAGAGAGGAGAAATAGGAGAAAAGTTGAAGTAATTATTTCCTTTTTAGAAAAATAAAACTTTTCATTTATTTTATTGGAAAACATTACACAGAGATAGAGAGGGAAAGCCAGAGAGATCTTTCATCTGCTGAGATTACTCCCCAGATGGTCACGGCAATCCACCACTGAGTCAGTCTAAAGCTGATGAGGAACTTCTGTAATCTCCCATGTGGCTGCAGGGTCTCAAGGACCAGAGGCCACGTTCTGCTGCTTTCATAAGCCTATGCAGGGAGCTGGATCTGAAGTGGAGCATCCGGGAGTTGAACTGGAGCCTATATGGGAGCCAGTGCCACAGGTGAAGGATTAGCCTGCTTCTCTGTACCAGTCTGAGTTACCTCCCATTCAAGGCAGAGATAGCATCTGTCTTGTGCTCGGTCCAGGTTGTGGCACATTCTAGAGATTGGATTGATTTTTAATTAATGGAAAAGATGAAGAAATATCGTTGTATAATAAATAATATTTGGATTCCCCTTGGTGCTAAGCAAGGTGGGAAATACAAACACTCATTTTAAAAAGTAAAAGAGGTTTAGTTTTTAGGAGAGTTACAATGTGTTTTTATGTAAAAATATGCACAGAAAAACCCATCCACTGAGTGCAAAATGAAAAATAAGTACCAAATGATAGTTGTAGGGAGACAGGGGAGGGCAGGATAGAAAAATCAGAGCAGGAGGAAGAAAATTTTCTTTATTGAAACCCAACAAGACTTCCCAGGGTTGGTGGCATTGCTTGGGGACCTTGAGACTGGATAAAGCTTTCGAAGTAACACAGGTGTCTTGCAGGGATGTGTAGGGAGCACTAGTTGGTTTCATTTTGCTTCAATGCATTTTCCGTAAACTCACATCATCTTAATTGCCATCAGAAGTGTCAACTTGACAGATTAAAAATCACTCTGAATGAATGCCCAGAGCTACAAAAAATACACCTTGCTCTATGACACAGTTTATATTCCTTTATTTCTTAGCAGTTTTATGGGGGGAATACATTCATCACAAACCTAAAAAACAAAAGTTAATGAAAATACCACAACAAAACACTAAGCTCTAAAACTTTGTAACAAGTAACAATATTTTAGGTTAGCTAAATTCTATTGCTTTTAATAGTTAGCTAAGCTAAAATGGGAAAAGTCGCTGGAGAATTTGGCATATGAACTGAAGCAGGAAAGAAAATATAAGCCTCATGTTTCCCAAATGAAATAAAATGTACTACAATGACTCCAAACCAAATACACATCTAGAAAAGCTCTCATGTGTCAGCTTCCCTGCTCTTTTCTTATCACTGCATTAAGCCTGAATCAGCTTAAAACACAGTGCATATGCCAAGGGAAGGACCTACCTCATTATCTGTAAATATGTAAAATGTCCTCAGCCTCCGGCAAATCACTCCTGCAGTATTACCACTGCAAGAGGAGATTCTACATTACAGGAGCAAAGAATGCTTTGATCAGACCAAGCAGTGGACCTAAAAGCATGATGTTGGTTGATCTTGACACTGGTGGCAGGGTGCATCAGTGCTTCCGGTTGGAAAAAAAATTGCTCAGAAACACGGAGAAGGCAAAATCATTTCAAATACTACTTGGCCTAAGAAGAAACCCCATATCTGCAAAGAAGAGGGTATTTGCTTAAGCACTGACAATCTTCAGAAAAAAATTTTTTTTTAGATTTTATTTTTATTTTTTTTATTGGAAAAGTGGATATACAGAGAGGAGAGACAGAGAGGAAGATCTTTCGTCCGATGATTCACTCCCCAAGTGAGCGCAATGGCCGATACTATGCCGATCCAAAGCCAGGAGCCTCTTTCGGGTCTCCCACACGGGTGCAGGGTCCCAAAGCCTTGGGCCATCCTCAGCTGCTTTCCCGGGTCACAGGCAGGGAGCTGGAAGGGAAGCGGGGCTGCAGGGATAGAACCGGCACCCATATGGGATCCCAGGCATGCAAGGCAAGGACCTTAAACACTTGTGCCACCGCGCTGGGCCCCAGAAATTTTTTTGGTTGGTATCTTGCTAATATTATTGCACATGAATTTTTTTTTTACTTTTTATATATAATTCCACTGTTCAATTCTATGCCAGTGGAAATTAATCTGTTATTCTATTTTCTGGCATAATTCATCAAGAATTCTAGATTATCTTAGAAATATTTCTGGCATCTATTCTAATTATGTCACAATCCATCTTTTTCTATAAAACCTTAGAAATGATGATAGTGGTGATATAAGCACTGTACAAACATGAGATCTTTTAGCCTTTGGTGTAGAGTAAGCATGACTTCTATTTTTAACATAAAGGCATGAAAGTGAGAATGGAATAAAATTATTCTGTTAATCAATGCAAGGCTCCACCAGACTGTGAATTCAGGTCAAGCTCACCCGAAAGCCTACATTCTTTCCACAGTACAATACATGTTTTCTGCCCATTTATATAACATGACTTCATTTGTGATACAAATGGTACGGATAACCTATAGCCTTGGGAATATGAGAACCTATTATCAGGATTCATTGTCAAGCAGCTCCCCAAGAAGTTTGAGTGAATGAAAATGCCGTGGCAGTAACTCAACATCCAGACTGAATGTGCCAGAAAAACAGAAGAAGCCTCAGTTCTTTTTAAATACTAGGTCCATGTCTTATTCAGCTATTTAGAATATGTGTGTATCCCTGGAGATGACTTATACACCCACAGCTGTGTGTGTATACATGCGTATACATATAACTACTTATATATGCTGTTCTGCTATAAATTTACGTGTATTTATTCTTATCCAAACCACATCACTAAGGAAGTACTTCGTACTAAAAGATACAAGAACAATATAATAAGGTAAAGTTTGAGGAGGAATCCAGAACATAGAAAATATCCTAAAGTATTCTCAAAATAATAGGTATGATTGAGTTTAAGATTTGGCCCTGAGCCAGCTCCACAGATGAAACAAATTTTGTTGGCACAATAGTCTGAAAAATGCTTACAGAATATTTTAGCTAGACCGGGTAATGTACCAAATAACATCCATGCTTCTTCGTCGATCATGAAAGTTTTGTCTCCAAGTGCATGCTAATACAGCACTGGCTCTTGAATTTAACCAATGTGAGTTTTCACCCACCCTGCTCAGTTCTATTAGGCTCCTTTCCCCTCTCACTTAGCTATCTGCCTGTCCCTTATTTAGTTCTCTTGGTCCTATTTTGTACATGTCACACTGTTTGTTACAATGTCTTCTAACAACTAAGGGAAAACCCAAACTCCTTAGTGTGACCTATAAATACAGATTGATTCATTGCTGGTTGCGTCAATTTTTTCAGTCCTGTCTTTTGACAACATAACTTCCAGAAACCCCGAATTTCTACCCTTCTACTAGACATGCATGTCCTTTTATGAGATTTTATGCTTTTGCACATGTTCTATCCTTTCCCTGAAATCCTTTGTTTCCTTCCGTGCTTGGAAACACTGATCCGTTGATTCCAGACCCACCTGAAATGCCATTTATCATAACAGCTTCATTGATACCCTCAGACAAAATGAATCACTCCTTTCACTGTATTCGAACCAGACTTCACTCTACTGCAGAGCAAACACAATGAGAATCAGAGGAGGCACAACCTCGAGTCCATTCCTACGTGTGGTACATCACAGAAAACCCACAAATACTCTCTATGCTAATATTTTCAGCATTTCTAGAGTAAATACAGTACTGAATTTTGTAAAGCTGTTTCTTACAATGATTGTTAACATAAAAAAAGAAAAAATAAATCAGTGTCTGAAGTACAAATCACCACACTAATGGGATTCAACGATAGAATGCCAGATACCTAGAGGAGTACAAGGGTGAACACTGTGTGATTATCTTGAATCAGCACTCCTTTCAACTGGGAGCAAACTCCTGGAGGCTGTATTCTTTGCTTGCACTTCCAGAATCCTAGAAGGCTAGGACTTTCTGGTTCTGGCTGATTAAGCATATTTATGCTAGAAACCAGAAGGCAGCATGGGTACTAAAAAAGCTCAGCCAGGGACCTAGCATGACACCTACTACAGATATGGTCAGAAACATGTGTGTTGCCATCACATGCACAACCCACTAGAAATGAGATGACTCTACCTGGGGCTGGGCCACCTTGGTCCTGTTGAGAAAGCCAGAGTCCACTTCAGGAATCAGCTCTGGACTTTTCTCCACTGCATGGAAGAATTCTAGTGAGTCCCTGGAGCCCTGATACT